TGGTAAGAAATTTGATATGGAAAAATGCCTGGCCTTCATAGAAATTCGCATCTGCTCTGTTACTCAAAGGAACTGGTGGCAGTGGCACAGTATCTAACGTGTCAAGATTATACGCTGCACTATCATGGAGTTGCAGATGAGACCAAGGCGAGGTCGAAACTGCAGTCAACTCTTGCCTGGAGGAGAATATCTTATAAAAAAACAAGACTATGTTAAAGTAAATGGAAACACAAGATCTATTTATATGATTGTAGGAAACTTTAGCTACCAATCCTTCCCAATCTTAATAAACTAGGGTGAATACATCTCAAATACATAATATACTGGTAGTCTCGAAAACCTACGTATAAAGGAAAAACAACCATTCAAAACTTGTTAAGTCATGCCCCGCAACTACCAACTAATGTCTCGTGAGGCTGAAATCATAACTATTGGAATAAAGCTGTACCCAAAAGATGGAAAAAACTAAGGAATTATAGAAAAATATGTCACAAGCGTTAACTAGAGGCCCGGAACTCACGGAAGAAACAAAATTGTAGACCCAATGCAATCACATACATACAACGAGTGCAATCAGTAATAAAGATCAGGTTTGTAAAAAGCTGCAAATCCTATCATCAGTCAAAGGATTTAAGGCTCAGAATAAAGAAAGTAGAGGAAAATATGATGGCAAAATTAAAACATTTTTAAAGTATAAATTTACACATTCTACGAAAGCATCCATCAATACTCATGTTTGGCAGGCCCATGAGGGCAGTCCCGTGAATTCATAAACTAAGGTGCATAAAGAAAGTCCTCATTGGAAAAAAATGTTCAACTTGTAAAGAAATTATTTATCATCCTTCTTATGCAGTGAGAATTAGAGACTCGAACATAGACCCGATCTAACAGAAAGGCTAGGGTAGATACGATTCGCAGTGAAATATTTGTATAGAAAAAAAATATCTTTGCAAATCGTCGGATGTAGTTAAGCAAAGATTAAGTCATATAAGCGAAAGAACTTAGCTCCCGAAATGTCTTTACAATTAAAGAGGGTTTGAGGTTGTTTGACCTTGTTTTCGCAACTTGGTCATTTTTGTTGGAAGACTTAGAGGAACACACCTAGTCCGAATCTAAATCTTCCTACCAATGTGACCAAGTTGCAAAAACAAGGTCAAACAGCCTCTATAAAACAAAAGGAGATTGTGACTACACAAAAGGCCACACCATCTTGGTATTCATACCTTCGATTAAAGAGGGTATTGTTGTAGAATATTTAGCATATATCTATCATAGCTTTCAACATCCAAGATAATTGTAGAAAAAGCAATAGCATTTCGATGTAACTAAATAAGCATTTAAGATGTGCAAGTTTCGAACAAGGCTTATGAAATTGTGTATAATAAGGTCAATAAGATATAAGCCCAATGATTCTTTGCAAAGATTAGCTTCTGTCCGAAGAGGCGGATGCACCTAAAGGCAACCAAATACGTATATTTATATTGAGTATAGTTCGATATTAGCACTGGGTCAAATATTGTCAGTGGGGTCCTATCTAATCTAGTTGCCTTACTAGGTTCCGGTAGGTTTTGGTAGATTCCTCAGTCGAGGAAAATAGGAGCGCAAAGTCTCCAGAGTAGCCTTAACCATTTTCTTTTCCAGTCCGATGGCTAATCCGACCGCAGCAAGGCGAACTCGTTTCCGGAAGAGAGATCTATCGAGCTCTAAGGAAAAGTCAATTTCGGGCAGCTTTGTAGTGTTACTGGAGGCAGGAGGCGAAGTTGAAAGGTCGGCGGAGGTGGGCCCCTCAATGTCTGCAGGACTATTAGACACAAGAGACTGAACGGAAAAGAGACGTCCAGTTGACATGCTGAGACGGGTTGGGCGAGCGATAGGAACTGAAAATAAGAATCGGCAAATGCCCAAAAGGTGGCTGTTTGCCTTTCCATGAAGATAAAAAAGATTAACACAATATATCTCTTCGCTATCACAGACAACACATCCCTGGAGGGCAAATTGAGCGTCGCCAGTCTGTAATGGCTCATTTCGAGGCCACTGGTCCTACTTTAAGTGACACGAATCCTACATAACACCTGCTGTACCATTTAACTTTTAACGACTGGCAGGGAGCCACATAATGTAATGACACCAAGTATTGCTTAAGGTGTGCAAGGTAGTGGAGGAAAGAGAAAACTGTAGGTCTAGAACAAATGTAATGTCAAAAGATTCAAGGATATTAAAGATCTAGTAAAATAAACGGAATCAACTAGGCCGACAAGGTCACCAAGCTAGGTTTCAGTGAAGAAATAATGCCAGCTTGGATGGCTAATATTTGTTCAAAAGATATTAATGGATCCCGGAAATTCTTCTAAAGGCCTCTGTGTAAACCGTTATTTTTGATATATCTAGTCCACGAGATTATCAGTACTTCATGCATAAGAGCTTAATCATCTTGGGTCGCATGATTGATAGTTGAATTCTCTCACAATTATATAAGTAGGCTTCACGAGGCTATTCACCTGGTATTTCGGGAGGCAAGGCTAGATAAAATTCAATGGTATTGTGAGGCCTAGTTACATTGCGGAAAAACTCAACTATCAGTCCTTAAATCACCTTCTGCGACTTAGGGTGACCAGGCTCCTATTCTAAAGTGCGTTACATCAATCCAAAACAGAACAGCAACATTATCAAAAAGATTGTATAAAGCGTAAAATGTGATCTGACTCCAAGCTTTCTATGCCATCATTAGAACTTGATAAAAATATATATAAAGGAAAAGCCTGAGATCAAGAAATACGTGTATATATCTATGTATGCATTACAAAAGATTCCAAGTGTGAAAATAACTTATTAGGGTTACGAGATGTACCAAAAAGTTTGGTGAATTCGAGTCTCGATTAGAAAGCCAATTCTATGTACATAAGCATGTACCCTAGTAGGTCGTAAAAAAGTTTCTAAAAAATAAGCAGGTTCATGAAAAAATAGAATAGAAAGGAAAGGAATAAGTGCAAGAGTGCATCTGAGGTGTTCTGTACAAAAGTGAAAAAGTGGAGTCTTTTAGCCACAAGTCAACAACCATTATGTATATCAGAAGCTGCATTTTTATTTCACAAGTTACACTATTCTACAGACTGAGTGATGAAAAGGGAGTAAAGGGGAGAATAAGTGAGGTGTAATGAAGGTAAAATAAGATCGAATGATGCATATCAGACAAATATAGAGACCGAATCCTCGTCGTCCAGAATAAAAAGTCCATTCCTGCCTTCCTCAAGGCATCGGCCGAGAAAGGTAGTATGCGAGATGCCACAAGCGCCTTTGGAAAGCAAGTAAGACATGCCTGAAATTGGCTTTCTTGGACCCGACTGGGGATCCATATCTACCTCCGTCTCGTGAATAGCCTCCGTCCCACTGGAATCAGGCTGACTTTCGCCCGCCAACGTATCAATAGACATTTCAGTCGGTTGGCCTGGGATGTCTTCATCAAGTCCCATAGGGAGAAGCTCTGGCCTGATATGGACCTGTTCAGGAGATTCAGTCCTAGACTGTCCTTCGAGTTGCCGATCCATGGCTCGTGCATCATCTCCTCCTGGGTCTAAATTGTGGTCAATCAGAGCCACAGGCAATTTTCCTCCACCAACATGATAACTGGTATCGCCATCACAACCGTCATCTGCAGCAGCTCCGTCGTCGGCGTCCTCACCGTCATCATCCATGACCAATTGGCTTATGACAGCCTGAGTGTAGACACTCACCAAGTCTGGCCACCGCGTATGTAATTCATCTGGAGGCTTAGGGCCACATAGCTGAACCTCGTATGGCGTATAGACGAACAGCTGTGCCTCGTCTGACTGGGCCTTGCCGGCAGCCAAGTTCTTAAACTATTTTAAACGAAGTTAAATAAAGCATGATAATGTGAGAATTGATAAATTCTAGAGAAGCAAATTACATTAATTTTAGTCAAAACGCGATAAGGTAAGGATTTTCAGAGTGAGGCAAATGGAAATAAATGAGACTATTTTTAGCGAAATCTAATTCCTTATCAACAATACTTCTTAAATAAAATAAGTCTTGTCCATGCGTCAATTTCCCCGTTCATATGCATATCTTTCAGGATGCCACTGATCTTTATAGCTTAGTCCTTGTTTAGTATACGATATTTAGTCCTGTCTCGTAGAATATGTTCCATCTTCTCGATATATTGTTTTTTGTCCATTATCACTGTAGCTCCTCCTTTGTCCGCCTGAAAGACTAAGTGTTTATTCGTTTACAGGTTTTTGTGTATGGTGGCAAATCGGTTCCTGTGTGTTGGCTCCTGATGTATCAAGATCTTTGAAATTAATTTCATCTCCATTCCCCGTTTTGTCTCCTCAGATAACCTGTAGGAGATATTGATAACCTATTTATATTCAGAAACTAAATGAGACCTATTTAACAGAGCGGAATAAACTGTTTAAGTTTATAGATACTAATTCAAAGCTTCGGCGTGATCTGGCCAGGATCGTGTCTCCAGAAGATTTTTAAAAACTCCAGAGCATGAACGACAGGAAATCACGTAGGATTTCTGACTTAATAAGAAAACGGCATGACGATAAATTGCGTAAGTTTGGCATTATAGGGCAGCCTAAGTTAAAGCCAGTACGCCCATTTAAAGTCGCTTCCGAGGTGACGATCGGTAGAAAGTAGTAAACGTATCATCAATCCCTCTCAATCCCGAAACAACCGCGTTCCTGGAAAAAGGACTCCATTTTTCAATTCAATATAACAGAAGCCTGGTGGAAGGTTATAAATAGCTCCGACAAGTTCCCTGAGGAAACAAAACGGGAAATGGGGATGTATCTCATTCCAAAGATCTTGACACATCAGGAGCCTACACACAGTAACAGATTTGCCGTTATAATCAAAACCCTGAAAACGAATGAACAACTAGTTCTTCAGGCGGACAAAGGAGCTACAGTTATAATGGACAAAAAAAATATACCGAGAAGATGGAACATAGTCTACGAGACAGGACCACATATCGTATACTAAACAAGGACCCAACTATGAAGATCAATGCAATCTTAAATGACAC